AGCCACAAGGTAGCCTGATATTCCATTGAAGAATAACATATATGTTCCTCAGTTTTAACTCTGATTTTGTCCCTCTCACTCAAAGGGATGGCAAGCCTGTGTATCCTGGGAAAATGTCCTCTCTGAATAGTAACATCAGCTCCACTGTATCATCTGGCATCAATGGTATGTGCCAAGTGAGATACTGACAAATCAAAAAAACTTCAGCTCAGAAAAATGAGTACTGATGCACATAACAATTAGCCAGTCGACAGCCAGCTCATGGATAGTGTTAGCAGCTGAGGTTTTCGACAGCGAGCTGGCTCAAACAGCATTTGCAGTGTACGTTGTTGCAGCTGGCCAGCTACCCGATAGCAATTGCAGCTAACACTACTGTAAAATTCAAAATCAATAAACCCTCCCTTATGATAACACGTGACTAGCAGATAACACTACTATAAAACGATTAGTCAATTAAACACTACATTTGCATCAAGGCGCGGTATGTACACCAATAAACCACACAGAAGCTAGCTATGTAGTTTTAGCGCCTATTGTTGTCTGACGGTATCTTCGTGGCTCATCTTCGTAGCCAACCTTATCAGAAAGTTTCTTGCATTAACTTTGTCGGCTTCTTGCCAGCCTTTGCAGGTAAGGTTCACAGCCCTGCGAGCTAGCAGCATTTTCAGCTAAAGGAGTCCACAGCTAACTTTAGCGGATTGCCGCCACTGCAAGCTCACGACTTTTTTGTGTGACTATTAACCTTCGTTGAGGCTAATACTTCTTTTGGAATAAGTGTTAGAAAAAAAAATCCACCATTGAGTGACCATTGTTTATCATTCAAGGGTTCCTCACCGCAGAAGATGCAATGGAGACCGAGTTTTTCACAGTGCTGTCTTCTTTAGAGGTAGGCTCACTAATAATAATAATAATACATTACATTTATAAGCGCCTTTCAAAACACTCAAGGACACTTTACAATCAAAACAAGAACAATCCCAATGTTCTTTTGTTTGACAATGTACAACGCGCTTTTGTTAACATGTTTGCACGTCCAGGAGGAGGTGATTAAGCTGGAACTGGACAAGCCGAACTTAGGAGGTCTCGGTTTCTCCGTGATCGGCGGTGAGCGAGGTATATTCGTCAAGTCCATCACAGCGGGAGGAGTGGCCGAGGCCTCGGGCAAGTTGCAAGTGGGCGACCGGCTGTTGAAAGTGAGATATTTCAAGCATTCCTTTGGACCATTCAGGACACGAGCCTTTGTCTGAGGCTATTTTGTCTGTGTCGGCAGGTGAACGAGGAGCCAATGACCGGCGTCTCACATACCAAAGCTGTCACCACCATCCGCAAAGCTAAAGGCCTGGTACGCTTGATGGTGTCCAGGCCGCCTGGCCAGAACCCCAACACCTACATGGCCTATCTGCCAATCACCACGAATAAGTGCAACGGAAACACAGGTACCGGCGTACCTCACAAGGGGAAGCTTGACTTGCTGCTCGTTTGTGTACAGTCGGTTTTCCTCCCTTCGTGTTTGTCTTCGGTAACAGAAAGGCAGTTGAGATCAGACCTTGGGTTAGACTTTCAACTGAAATTGAGCTTTCGCATAAATTTCTCTTTCCGATGCTGCTTGTTTGTTGTTCTCGATGTTTTTAACCTTCAGTTGAGATTGAAGTATGAATTTTGCCTTGACTTAAAGCGATCATATGAAACCGGAGGTGATATGAAATCTAAAATATGACTTTTCTCTCATGGATTTGCTGGTTTCACTTTTGTCTTCTATACTGTAACTACAAAAGTTGGAAACTATCCTGGTTTGTTACAGTCAATGTTGTTTTCAGATCTCAGTGAGGACAGCGGGGTGAAGTCCAAGTTGGGTAGTCCCCATAACGTACTCAATTCCGGCTGTCCACCATTACCGCCAGCCGACTATGACGAAGGTCCGCCCAATCCCAAAAGAGAGCACAGTGCCGAACTCTCCGAAGATACAGACTACGACGGATCCTCCTTACCCGAAGACTCGCCCGAGGTCCTCATCAAAGCGCTCACACTAAATAGTAAACATTTACATTTCACGTTTTAAGCGGTTGTCCTTTAACTCCATAGAGTTCTCGTAAAGTGCAATGGATGGAGGAGAGTGTGGACGACCCCAGCAATGAAAAGTAAGATTTGGTATTTGGAACGTGGGAACAGATGAGGATTTTAGCTTTTTTTTGTTTTTAATTTTGCATTTTTTTAAACATGCTGTCTCTTGTTGTTATTGAATGTGCAGTTATCTGCAAATGAGCGCTGGCCGGCCAGAAGATGACGATGACGACGACATCACGTGGGGAAGTGATGAGCTACCCATTGAAAACCTCGATTCCAAATTCAGAAAAGGTTTATTCTTAATTTATTATAAAACATTTTTTTCGAAATGTGTTTTATTTAATGGCAAAAATACTTTTATATATATGGTAACACGCATAAATTACTATGAGAATCCTGTCAGTGATCAAATTAAAATATCAGCAGCGCTCAACATTTTTAGACTTTGTTCTTTATTTCCAGAATAATTCATATATTATAAATATTATTTATGTAAATTTATTTGTTTTTACTTGTTTAGATTGAAGTTGAAACGGTGTTAAAAAAAAAAAAATCCACAAATTGTGAATGCCAATAAAATCCCATCAGTGCATAACATTTTTAGTTTTTTTTTTGTTGTTGTTGTTTTTTCCCTTCTTTTTTGTTTTTATCATGATCTTGTTCCACCGATTTTGTTGTGCTTGCACGCAGCTGGGCCAATCATCACCAAGGACGAGCTGACCTCCTTGCCGCTGGTTGAGGTGGTCCCCGATGGCCAGTACACGGGTGTCAACCTCAATGGTGTTGTGCGCATGATGAAGGGGCTCCTGGAACAGAAAGTCCCTCAGCAGGAATTTGAGGTGAGACCCTCTCGTTAATCTCATTTTAGTGCTATCTGTGGTTCCTCTCATCATGCTGGAGCCATTTGCTTGTAGAATCTTCAAAATCTTCAACCTCTGGACGACTGTTTGGTTGGCCAGACGAAGGAGAACAAGAGAAAGAACCGCTACAAGAATATTGTCCCCTGTGAGTTAACACAAGTGTGGGGGGTGTGACACAGAGACATTCATTTTAAGTGTCAAGGAATTATATTACACCCAATATGAATAATTTATGAAACATGTCAATGCGTAGTAGTTCTTTTTGTTCTACATTAAAACTTGAGCACAATTATAGACGTAAAAATAATGTAAAAGAAATTTTTCCCGTGCCTGTTTTCCTGCAGTCGACACCACGCGAGTGGTGCTCGGTACAAATGGCGGTTATATCAACGCCAACCACATCAAGATGCCCGTGAAGGATGAGGACTTTGCATACATCGCCTGCCAGGGACCCCTGCCCACCACTATGGGCGACTTCTGGCAGATGGTGTGGGAGCAGAAGGCCAATGTGGTCGCCATGATGACGCAGGAGATTGAGGGCGGCAAAGTGAAGTGCCAACGGTACTGGCCAGACTCGCCGGGCACCACCGAGATGGTGGACGAGCGCCTGCAGATCAAGTTGGTCAAGGACCAATACCTGGACCACTTTGTCATCAGACTCATGGAGGTCAAAGATGTGACGGTAAGGACGTGAAAAAATGGAAGAGTAAAAAAGAAGCACCGTCATTTGATGAATGTTGTCGTCCAGACGGATGAAACGCAGCTGGTGACGCACCTGAACTACACGGGCTGGCCCGACCACGGGACGCCATCTCAGCCCGAGCAGCTGCTCACCTTCATCTCATACATGCGGCACGTGCACCGCTCGGGCCCCATCGTCACGCACTGCAGCGCTGGCATCGGACGTTCCGGGACGCTTATTTGCATCGACGTGGTCCTTGGGCTTATCAGCAAAGACGCCGACGTGAGTAGCACTTAATCGGACAGGATTGAACGTAAGAGTGATGGTGATGATGTTGTTTTTCCTCCTCAGTTTGATATTTCTGATGTGGTACGGAACATGAGACTTCAACGAAAGGGAATGGTCCAGACAGAGGTGCTCTTGACTAATGCGTAACTTTGAATCATATGACTTATTCCAGTACATGCCTTTTTACATGCATGTCTTTATGTGCTTGCAGGACCAGTATATCTTCTGCTACAGGGTGATCCACTACGTCCTGGAATGCCTTCAAGATGAGAAGAACATCTCAGGCTAGTCAGTGGACACCAGCAGAAAAAGGCCAAATCATCAAAAGTGATTTTAAAATACCGTAAATATTAATTCCACGCCACTATTAGTGTCCATTCTTTTTAAAGAAATATATTTTTTATTATATGTTTGCTTTTTTTTTTTTTAAGTTCTCTTCCTTTTGGCTGCTACCCCTCATCCCCTCATGCAACGTTGAGAACTGCTGATTGTATTTCTTATGTCCACCTATAAGAGAACGCTAGTGTTTTATTTTCCAGATAAAACGATGACACACATGGACCAATGACATCATATTGTATGTATGTGGAACAAAATTGTAACTATTTGAAATTGCATTTTGTTTGTTTGTTGATGCTGGAACTCGCCTTGACAGAATACTGTGTCAGTATTTGCTTCGCTCGCTGCCTGAAGGTAAACGATAAACTTAAATGTGTACATATTCATTTGCTGAAAATTAAACTGGATACATTTTAATTGTTCAGAGCCTTTTTATGGTTTGAGTCTTTTTTTTTTTAAGCACATACAGTGTGAACATACAAGACTCATTTTCCATCCCTCCATCCATTTTCCGTAACACTTTTCCTTACTTTTAGGTCCCGGAGGGGTGGGGTAACCTCAACAAGGACACCCTGGGGCCTGGCCAGACCACCCCCACCAAACAAAAAAAATACCTTTTGTCCAGTGAGTCAATTTTCAGCCATTTTATTGATGATAACTCGTATGGGACACATTGCAATTTATAAGAAATTACGCCTCGTTTTAACAGTTGTTTCCATAAGATGTAATTGTTCATGGGAACAAGGGACCAAGTTAATACAACAAAGTTTCTTTCCTGTAAAATCATGTTTTTCCTTTTATGAATAAATCATGTCTGTAGCTTAATTGGTTGTTCAGCATTAAATTCAATGTATCCCCTGGCCCTAAATTCCAGTAAATAAAAAAAGATAATGAAAAATAACTCATTTAAAAAAAAACAAATGATAATAGAACATTTTGAAAAGTCATTTCGTAAAGCAACAGTTTATACATATGCAAACCATCAATGAGATTTTTTTCCCCCCCATGAAGAAGACACCAGAAAGCTCACTTTTTCATTTTTCACCAAGTTAAAAGAGAGTCTTAAAATTTTGTGAATAATGTTCAAGTCAGTATCCGTCCGCCATCCCCTTCTTCCTCATGTCTGATTCGGCCACAATGCATCCCTCCTCCTTCTCCACTGCATTCACTATGTTGAAAAAATACTGCATTTGCCCAACCTGGTGCCCGAGAGCTCTGAGGCCGTCGATGACAACCTGAAGGCAGAGAGGAAATGTGACATGACTTATCCGAAGTGACCTTAACTGCTCACAAAGTGCGTTTCAATAGATTACCTGGTCAAAACCGGGTGGAAAATTCACATTGTTCTTGGAGTCAACATACACGATGGGAGCCTCGATTGCTGCTTTCAGACTCATTCCCAGCCACAAGTGATTTATTACAGACTGTGGGGCGCACGCAGATGAACCGTGTCAACAAAAAGCATGAGTCAAGGACACGTTTTTGTATTTGAGGAGTACCAAGGCCACTGCGCCGGTGATCATGCTTCCCCCTGCTCCGCCAATCACAAGAAGTCCTCCAGACTTGGACTCTAGTATAGCTGGCGTCATTGAGGAGGGAGGCTGCTCACCTGAAACAACCATTACAATCAAAACTGTCGGCCCGTTCATGTCCGCACAAAGATGAAGGTGGATCTTACCAGTCTTCAGTGTGTCTGCTCTCCCACAGAAGTCAGCCAGCTCATTATTCAGGATGATGCCCGTCCGTGGGGAGTAAATGCCTCCTCCGAACCTACGGCAAGAGACGGTGATGACACACCTGAAGATTCCGGAACATTTCCAACAAGCGTCTCCTCACAAATGGTTTATGGTGCTGGTGGCAGAGACGGCCAGTCCGTCTTCATCCAGCACGGACACTTGTGACGTTCCGGTGTGATCGGGCGGCGGCTTGACGTTGGAGTAGTACGATGGCGGGTGGGTGCCATTGGAAGAAATCATTGTCCTGATGTGACCGATGAAGGTGGGATCCATCAGATGTTCCGCACCCTGTAAGTTGACATTTTCCAACTTTGTTTCAACGTTGTCGTGCTTGAAGTGACAATTGTCTTTTTTTTTTTTTCTAATGGAACAATTTTGTCATGTTTATGATTTTATAAAGACTGTATCAAACTTAAATATCAAATCCTAACCGTCTCGCTGTTGAACAAAGGATCACGAATGCTCCTTCGCTGGCCGTTAGCAAATTTGACCGCCTCAATATAATGATGGTAAAACTGAATTTTTCCTTCCCCTTTCAGGGAATGTGGTGTCAAAGAGAACCCTGTGAAAAGAAGACAAACACAAATACTATTTGGAGATTCAGTCTTAAGCATAACAAACATCCCCAGGAAATGAGACCAAAAAAAAAAAAACCTTGCATGATCTTGAGGATAAAGGCAAGCAGGGCGCCCCCAGCAGGCGGTGGAGGAATGTGCATCAGCGTGTCCCCCAGAAGAACTGTCCATGCATCCACCGCTCTCACCCGGTAGGACCTCAGATCCTCCATTTCTAATGTCCCACCTACAAGCATGACATAGCACAACAAAAAAATGTCAACGTCTCAATAACTCGTTAACTGCACTTGGGCATCAGTTACAGCTTGGCAACACAAGTCGACTTATTGTCTGCTGAGGAATGGCATCCCCCTCTTCTTGAAGGGTAGCCCCCCAGGTCATTGAGCTTCTGTCGTGCATTATTTATACCACTCAACCGGTGTGCCGCCGCACCTTTGAAATCCTTACGAATAATGTTCTAGCATTTACATTTGGCTCCCCACCTGCTTTTTTGACATCGTGAATTAAATCCCAAGCAATCTCGCCAGTGTAGAAAGCGTCTGCTCCTTTCTTGGCAATCATCTGCAGGCTCTCGGCAAGTTGAGGAAACTTCAGGATGTCTCCTGTCCTAAGAACACTCTTGTTGTTGTTGCAAAAAATGTCACTGCGGAGGGGGAAAAAAACTCACATTACTCAGAACTCACTTTTGCCGGATTTTTTTTGTTTTGTCCATTTATCCACTAACTCCGCGTTGTTCTGATCTCGTTTATTTGGGTGTAATTCCACTTTCGGCCACGAGCTGGAGGACACACGATTGCGTTTGACAGTGTCAACTGGAAAGAAGATTGAAAACAGGAAGTATTTTTTGTACCAGAGGGACGAACGTTCCACTCTGCTTTTCACGGCGGGCATGCCAAGAATCTTCCCCAGATGAGGAGGCACCGCGATGCCCTCCCTGGCCAGCTTTATGGGCTCCTCGAAGAGCTTGGACCACGACAGCTTGCCGTAGCGCTTGTGAAGCTCCTCGTAGCCCCGCAGCTCACCGGGAACGCCGATCCACTGACTACCTAGGGGAGTGTTGCCATATTGGAAACCGTAAGCCCTCACGCTCACGCATATTCACCGACAAATATTCTGTCCTTACCTGGCGTATGTTTGAATGATTCCGAACAATCATCCAACAGGTTGCTCTTAAACTTGCGAGGGACAGTCTCTCTGAAGTTGTAGACCGTCACCTTACCTGGGATAAAAAAAAAATAATAGATATATAAAATGACCACAACCGCATTGGTAATTTGCTTTGCCGACGTGTTTGGAATTCGGAGCAGCGACCTGTTTTATTTCTGACTGTTACGACAGAGCCTCCGCCGAGCCCCATACTCTGTGGGTAGACCACGGCGGTGCACAGGAGGGCCGCGATGGCGCCGTCTACTGCCGAGCCGCCTTGCTGCAGGACGTCCCTGGAAGACCAACGTCATTTAGGTATGCATGAGGGGGGGGGGGGGGGGGTAGTCTTAAGTAACAGGGGGAAAAAAGGGGGGGGACTGCCTTTCTGGCTTCCTCCTACATTCCAAAAACATACATGTCTAGATTCAGTGAAGACTGCACATTGCTTGTTTGTATGTGCCTCGCGATTTTGATATTTATCGATCAATCAATTATGTTATTGATCATTCGACAAATGATGACATTTACAGAACGCGATACACTACCACGGTGGATATTTGCTTTAAATCAATGATAAAAATCTACAAGACAATAATGTGCTGATTTATTGGATTCAAATCAGTTTAGGTTGTGAATATAAAATGTCTGCCATACCACGATTCAAATTCCAGTTTGGATAGTTTTGATTTTGGTCTCACTTGTTTGTATTACAAAAACTTTGGCAGGAGTGTGAAGACTATTCATATCCACAAGATAACATCATCATTTAACCGTACAAAAACTTCAATTAGTCTCAATCCGCATGTTGTGGACTGCTGATGTCGTAACGTGAAGGAAGCGGCATGCCCGCGTGGATATGATCCATGTTATCCAATCTCTTAAACTGCTTACCACCTCGCTCGGTTTCACACAAACTGCTGACTCGTCATATAGTGTGACGCAAACTTTCCTGCGAGGAAATCCTCAGAACGCCAGAAAAAGAATGGAGCCACACTCGATAGATTGCGAGTCACTTACTTGCCAACCCGCGAGCAAAGCAGCGAGTCCGCGGCCACGGCGGCGTGCCGGAAGCCGCCGGAGCACGGCGCGGTCAGCAGAGTGGCCACGCACACGCACAGCAGAACCGAGGCGCACAGCAGCGCGCACGCCAGGCAGCCGCACCACTTGTACTTGTCCATCTCATTCGAGGCCAACGTAAGGTCACCAATGGGGCCCCCGAGCCGCCATCACTCGCGACCTGGTTGCTGCTGCCACTGCACGCTGATTGAAGTTACCCGCGGAGTTGTCACGGGAACGCGCGGCGCCTGCACCGCCTGGCTTTACTCCTTAGGGACCATCAAGAAATAATTCTCTTCAAATGTCAGAATATCTATCTCGCTACCGATCGATCTATATAAAAGCAAGCAACTCGTCTTAAAACGTTTTTCTTCTTTGGCTTCCAACTCAGCATGAGACTTGGCTTTTTTTTTTTTGTGTGTGTTTGCCTTTTTTTGCTATTTATTTATTTGCTTTTAACTCTTTGTTTTGGTATGTCTGATTTTCACTTTACGTACAGCATCTTTTTATGCAGCCATCGTTGTTTTTTGGAGTATTCTCAGAATGAAGTGGAATTGAGGATGTATATTTAAATGACATTCTTTTTTTTTTCCCCATTTGTACTGTGTGCACCGTATGTCATCTGGCCAAAAGTCAGATGCAATTTAACGACGCTCCCTGAGTGACCTTCCCACCCCCGACCCCCCTGCTGCTGTCCTGTTCCCTCCAGTCCAGATGCGCTTGTGTAAACCTCTTCAAGTTCACTCAGTCTTTCGTATGACATCCATGTGTGGGGCCCAAATTGTTATGACCATAAATGGTAACATGAATGTCATCAACAAACTCACTTGCACTGTTGCCATGTCTCTCAGAAAGGTGTACAACATTTTGAAAGGGTTGTTTTTTTTTTCCAGCCTGCTGATTTTTGTTTCAGTGTTGTAGGCAATGTCAATCTGGCGCTTTTTTTAATTTAACATTTCTTACCCCGCTCATCCACCACAAAAAAAGTGAGCCACCTGTTTGTTTGTTCGTCTGTGTGTGTGTGTGTGTGTGTGTGTGCGCGCGTGTGTGTGCGCGCGTGTGTGTGTGTGTGTGTGTGTGTGCGCGCGTGTGTGTGCGCGCGTGTGTGTGTGTGTGTGTGTGTGTGCGCGCGTGTGTGTGCGCGCGTGTGTGTGTGTGTGTGTGTGTGTGTGTGTGTGTTTGTGCGTGTGTGTGTGTGTGTTTGTGCGTACCATGTGGTTGTTTCACAGCTGGCCACAAGGGGGAGATGTTGAATACTGTATATGTCCAATTGTAGTCCTAAAATATCCCATTTTCTCACTACTTGGAAGAAGGAAAGACATTTTAAATCCTGACCTTTATTACACTTGAATGTAAATGCAACACCCAGAGAAAATGTGCATGTTAATGTTTATGAATATATTCATGCATAATTATAAAATATTTTTAATTCACTTGTTTTCGATTTTTTATTGTGTTAAATCCATTAATTTCAAAGATATTTATTTTACTAATATTTTTTCAAATGTATCGATTGAATGATGCACATTTAAGAGGGCAGCACCGGAGCTTAGACATCACCGCTGCCTGTACCTATTAATAGTGCCCCGTTAATATTTCCTAGCCTGCGTCATGCCCACCCACCCGTGCCATTCTCTATTCACTCCATCTCTATGGACGCCGCCTGCACCTTTTACTCCTCTCGGCATCTGCCACTCACTCTATTCGGGCTTGGTCACACACCTCGGATGGCCTTTTCCTTGTCGGTCGGGTATGGTGCAAAGTCCAGCAATTATTATTCAATGAATACCTCGAATACAGCATGTCCTACATTATGTATGCTGGGGTCCACAATGGGCGTCATTATCAATCCTGACTTGATAATTGGATGTGGTTCATCTTAGCTTTCAGGTTCATTGTCAATCTACCGATGTCAGTGGGGACTTTCCAATGAACTTGCGACTTCAGCCAAAGAGTTTGCCAGTGTGATCGGAGTGGGCGCCTTGTCTTCCAGCTGTAGCTCAGCATCAATATTTTACATCAGCCTATTAATCTTTCAGTGTAGTCAACTGCGCCAGGATATGTGCTATGGAACCACAATAACTATTAATTATTAATTATTATAACCCTGCTCCTAGTATAGGTTTACTGTCAAACTAAACATCAAACAAAGATCATTACATGTAGCGTATTTAAAACAACCACATAGTTTTGTCCGTTTGCTTTTGAATGCGCAATGCAAAGGACAGGCTAACAGCTAGCCTCGGTGCCGTAGTGTTGTAGCTCTTTCAGTGCCTCATATTTGAACAAAAATGGTGGAGTAACACATGTCGATAGATGAACATATAACAATACCAACAGGTATATACTGTGTTTTATTTTATTTTTTATCCTCTGCCAAGGGCGGCGACTATTGCTGCAGCTTATTGAGCTGAGATGTAACCATCAGTATATCTGTTTGTTTGTATCACCTTTGTCCAGGTGGCCAAGGCATGCATACCAGGAGGAGCAGCACAATGTCTACTAAAGTGAAGCAAAAACTTGTTCATTCTTGACGTTTCGTTCAATTATGTCACCCTTTTTGTTTTTCTACAATATATTACAGAATCATAATTTTCTTAAAACATAACGTAGAAAGGGTTCTGTCAGTCGTCATCTGTACCTGTGGGTAAAAAACAAAAAACAAAAAACAAAAAAAAAAAAAAAAGTCATTATTTTTTTTATTTTTTTTTTTTTTTTTTGTTTTTTTGTTTTTTGTTTTTTCCCCACAGGTACAGATGACGACTGACAGAACCCTTTCTACGATGGAACTTTCCTGTACGACTGAGAGCCTCCACAAGCATCTTAAAACATAACAAAAAAATGGGGGTGGTTTTTTGGAGGAGGGGGGTCGGTATTCTATTACAGTGTGAATTACAATCCTCATCAGTGAAAGTAGCGACGGCACAAGACGTGAAATATTTTCGACAATACATCCCTCTTTAAGTGTGATAAGGATGTCGAGCGAGCGGATGAGTTAAGTAGGCGACTGCTCGAGTGATGCGGTGGAGATAGTCGCGCTCTTCCTGCAGCGTAGGAGACACAGATGTCAGAGCACACACGTTCCCCAGGGAGCAGAGGGCAAAATGCACTAATTTCACACTTTTTCCCTATCAAGCTCAAGTCTTAATTAGCCGCGCATACCCGTACACACACACACACACAAATGAGCATACACCCACTTTTTTTTTTTGCCCTGCGTGGACATCTGCTGCGGGACTTCCGTGACCCTGGGTGTAAACATGGCTCCCTTTGCATTCTCATGCAATTCTCCTCGGCAAATGTGCTCTTATTAAGTAGTGCAAAGGCACACTCACACTTCCAGTCATCGGGTGTGAACATTATGCAAACGTGGCCCGCGACATAAGCCTGAACTTTTTCATCTCGGGGGCAAAGAATGCACCTTTTTGCATGAGTGCAAAACAGCTAAAGAAGAAAAAGAAATATCCAAACAGCATTGAGTAGAGAAGTGTAAAAAAAAAAAAAAAAAAGCAATTTACAATGTGGGCTCTGACAAGAATAAGACCCCGTTGACCTCACCATTTGAAATGCTTTTCCAGGCCTTTACTGCAGCCTCTTTCAGTTCTTGTTTGTGACGTCAGGCGAGTTACAAGCACGGATGGAGAATATTTTTTAAGAGCAGGCATGCATGTCCAGCTGTGGGCCTGGAGGGCCGCCGTCCTGCCTGTTTTCCATCTCCCCCCCGGGCTGCAACACACCTGATTCAAATGATCAGCTCATCACACAGCTCTGAAGCAGCACAAGAACGATCCTGATTATATGAATCAGATATGTTGCTACCTGGAGAATCTGCCTTCAAAAAGTTGATGTTTATATCGTTTTTGAAGCAGTAAATTGAAGTGGACGGCAACACACGGTGAGATTTTTTTCCTATTAATTTCTCTGTGTATAAAACACGAAAATGACAAGATTGTTTTGTGCAGCAAGTGTACCTAATGTTCTGGCCGTTCGGTGTGTTATCATTTCACAAGAGCTCAAAGCTGAAATCATAAACTTATTATCTACGGAGCGGGATTAGAAGACTGATAGCATCCTCCCAGAGCACGAAGAGCCGCAGTGGATTCTTCTTTTCATTCTTTGTGGCAAATTACGCGCGTGATAATCCGCGGTGACGTGGGTCCCTTCGGTGAACTGGCAGCGTGGACGCAGCGCGTGCGCGTGCGTGCATTCAAACTTGCAGCGAGTGGAGGGGAACAGTTCCCCTTGCAAATGTCGCGGCAGGTGGCAGCTGCCGCAGACCTCCGCCCGACCACCGCCGCCGCCACCGCCACGCCCGCGGACGTGGATCCAGCTGCCGGCTGATGTACCCCACGCACCTGCACTTTCATCCGCAAGAAGTGGGACGCGAGCGACCATGAGCTCCGCTTTGCCCAAAAGCGAATCCGCAACGTCTCTGCTGAGGTCCGCCGGGCTCCAGCGCAGATCCACGCAGTCCGACCACGGCCCGCACGGGCACCGGAACCAGCGCGGGCAGAGAGCAGCCGACGCCGGCCGGTCGGAAGAGGCGAGCGCCAGGAGACCCCTGTGCCGCCCCGGCCACGCAGAGAAAGGCGCGGAGGACGTGAAACGCAAGACGCGCGTCAAATCCGGCAGGTCCAAGCAATCCGCGGGAACCGGGGCTCGCGGACGGGACGCCAAGGGATCCCCGGGTGCGCCCAAGGAGGACCGGGACGACGCCGACTTCTTCTTCGAGACCGACAAAGGGACGGTGAGCGGCTCAGCCTCCAGCCTGAGCTCGGACGCCGCCGCTGCCGGTCGTGGCCCCGTTCCGAGTCGGCCCGCCTCCGGCCGGAGGTCCAAGAGGCTCAGCACCGTTTCGGACTATGATGCGAGCCTGCACCCCATCGTCAAGTCTGTCTTTGGACAAGTAAGCTTGAGCTCAACACACACATGCAGCACTTTTTAAAAACCCTTTTTAAATGTAGCTTTGAATCAATCACTCAAAAAAAAAAAAAACTGAGCATCACAGTGCACTAATGGTTGACACATCTGCGTGACATTCGAGAGGTTCTAGGCTCAATTCCGCATAATCCATCTTTTTTTTCTGCCCGCCATACACATGACTGGGGGCTGTATAGGTTTAAATAAGAGCGGTTTCTTTGTAAGGGAAGGCAGCGCAGTGGTTAGTAAGTCTTGTCTCGATGTTCTCTTTGATTCTCGATATCCTTCGGTTACTCCGACTCGCTCATTCAAAAAAAAAAAGGTTTGTTACCTCCACTGAAGGCTGAAGATGCCCATAGGTGCGAATGTGAGTGTGGATTTGTCTATATGTGCCCTATGATTGACTGGCGACCAGTCCAGGATACCGCACCCCTCACCACAGGCGTATCACATTTTAAGGCTCTACTTACAATATCCTGGATAAAATGAAAATTTTTTTAATTGTTTTTAATGAACCACAGAAGCATCGCATGATAGTCAAGGAAGAAACACATTGCCACAAAGAAAGGAAACGGGCGACGTGTGGATATTTCGAGGCTCATTCACTCACTGCAACTGTGCAGTTCAGCGACAGAGACTCTCCATGCTTCGCTTCGTTGTTGTAAAACACAAAATTAGTCGTTTATGTTGAATGCACTCCGTTGGTATGGCTTGGAGGTGCTGCGAGAACGTTTTTTTTTGTTTTGTTTTGTGAACGCTTGGTGCATGATAGGATGTTCCATCTGCGACATCGCGACGCTGATTCAAGTCGTAGCAAAACTAGTGGCCGGTAGTTCATTAAAAAAAAAAAACATTTGGTAATCCCGGCACGCTGCGCGACAGTTTCGTATCGATTTGGCATGTGATGGGTCTTCGCACCAAAGTGTATCCCGTCATGGATACCCACTGGCTGCACATCCATTTAACAGTGACATCCATGCGTTATTCGCTACAAAAAAACAAACAAAAATGTTCTTCATTCAGATCTGCACTAAGATGAAATGGCTCCATCCTTGTAAAAGTTTTTGGGGGACATCTCATTTGATGTCCATACTGTATTTCCATTTGCTGTGATGGCTCAAAATCAGCCGGCATACGATCCGGAATGAGGACAGGCGGTATGGAAAACGGATGAATTGTGTTTCCGTTAGATTACCTGGTAAAAATGTCGCCAAAAATATAAAATAACAAAATAACTCCTCTCTCGCGCTCAATCCCGTGTGGCCAGTTTGAAGTCCTCCAAATGGTCAGAGGGCAGCCAGGCCAGAGAATAACCAAGAGAGAAAGGGTTGGACCAAAACAGTCCAAAGGTGCTTTGGGGAAAGTGAGCAAATTAGCAAGGGAGCAACATTTAAAGAAACCTCTCCCAAAACAGCTGGGCGGAGGGGGAAGGGGATGGGGGGGCACTATCAGAAGGAATCTTTCATACAGGGACTTCCCAACGTATGACCAAAATGAAATCTTTTTTTGCAGAAGCGCACGAATAACTTGAATCGGAGTGAATGCATTCTACTCATCGCAACGATTACTTTTCTGAACGTGTGACTCAGCAGCGAGCATTGTCGTCATCACAAAGGCACAATGTCCATACAGGAAATGCGTCTTAATTCGCCCTTGCTGTCTGGTTGCTCTCCAATATCTCCCCATTTTCTTTCACGCCGTCGCCTTCCACACAGATAATTAGAAAAAAAAAAAGCTGGAGAGGAGACAATTACCTCCGTGCACACTAATGTGCTCCCAAAATAACTCATCTCTCGCACTCAATCTGGGCCAGAGCTTCAATCGGTCTCGGAGGTTAGTATCAGGCATGTTCTCGTCACACTCGCACTCTCGAAATATCACATTTATAACCCAATTGTTGGGTCAAAAAGGTACCGATGACCACTTGGGCCACTTTAATATGTTAACTCAAGAACCCTGAAATGAATGCTACCAATATGACCCACTCATTTGACGCAAGAATTTGCTTACCCCGAAAAATAACCCGGAAACTTGACCCGACGCAAACAAGCAAGGATTTGGATTGAGGAAATCGCCCAAGTTTGTCATAACTGTAAAGACAAGCAATAGTTCTAGCACGTTCACAAATTCAGACATATCTCAGAAATAACTGCGTTCATTTTTTTTTTTTTTTTTGCTTTCTGCTATTTAGTGAATGAGCAATCGTGGCCTTTCAGCTCACAGATCCCTCTGGTGTATTGCAGCGGCATCATGAGGCGCTATCCTGTGACATGAACGGAAAAAGGCAGCTTGAATCATTAAGATGGACCATTTCTAAAAGAATTCGCAAAAGGAAGTCTTAGGACACGAAGATGCATTTGCGTTTGTTTTCATCGAAACACGTTGCAAATCATAACATGTCCTTTGGGACACAGAATGGTCATTCACATCATACTTCATATTTTTAATTCCACCAAAACAATTGTTACGGTTTGCGTGATAACAACTCAACTCGTTGACATACCGCACTGTACATGGGCTACCCTAAATTCGTAATTGCCAAGCAACAAGAGTGAAAATGAGAAAATTGCACGCGCGCACACGCACGGGGTCTCGCGCGCGCGCACACAAGCACGTAGACATGCAGAACTTAGAGTGGACACGACAGGCCGATGCAGCTCAACAAACTTTGTTTTTATAAAATAATTTCTTACGTAACCGGAAGATCTGCATACATACGAGGCCAACAGAGCAGCCAGTGGAGGAGGCTAAAAATAGAACATCAAGACCTGAATTTGAAAGACTGGAGGCGGCACACAGTTTTTTTTGTGTGTGTGTTCTCTGCACTGAAAAGGAAAAAAAAGCAACCCTTCATGAGGCGCTCAATCAAATGCTTGCAAAGTCACAATTTCAACCTTGGATATGAATGCATTTCCCCCCTTAAATATTTTGTCATCATCATACATCATTATAAAGATGCATCAAAAATACAATTTATTCTTTTAAGTATTTTGAGCAGGAAAAAAAAAAGCTTGTGATCAACTGCTTGAATGCAATCCCCCTTCAATTGGATGGCTTGGTTCGGATAAAGCCACTTGGTTGATGATGCCTTCGTCATGTTTACCTCATGCATATTCATGCCTTACCTTGAGCATCGTGTATTTTTTATTTCCAAATATACTTATTCTAATGTTCTAACCCTTTCATGAAGACCAGGAAGTGCATTTGGGAACCAAAAATTGCGTTCAAATGGACAACCCAGGCCTCGCTGCAAGACGGTAAAGAAACGAAACAAAAATGTCAACAACAACAACAATGTACTATTATTACTACTACTACTACTTCTACTAGTAGTAGTAGTTGTTGTAGTAGCACTACTACTACTCGTACTACCACTTGTGGGAATACCAGTGATTGTGAAAGCAGTTTTTCATGTTAACCAGCAGAGGGCGTAAGATGCATTTGGACTCACACTGTATGTCTGCCATGTTACCGCCAGACTTGAATCAGCCAAATGATGTTTGAAAAAAAAAAAAGAAAGTGACAAAGAGAGAAACAAATGGATGACTTTGTGGAGTTCGGATGATCCTTGTGAACAACATCAACACTCAGTCGCTTTCTCAGTCGTGACAATGCTGAGTGCCATGAGAGGAAGAAAAAAAATTCGCCTCCTCGCTTGCAGTGTTGCTGTCATTCATGCTGATTCACCCTGTCACCTGTTGCCCCCTTTTTGGTTTTTTTTGTTGTTGTTTTTTTGCACAAATCTGTCTCCATCCGCCATATTTGCTCTTGAGGTCCATCTGACCTTGACGAATTCTTACAAAGGCTCACAGCAGTAATTCTCAGTGTGCCACGAGTACCACTAGTGCTTCGAGGGGTCCCTCTGCTGGTACATGAAAGAATCACAGAATTAAACGCGAATAATATTTATGTTTAAATCATGATAAACAATCAAAATGAATGAACCTTGTAGCCATACGGTCTGTTTTTTTTTCTAATCTTTATGTATATATTATTTTACTTTTCAAGTACAGTTTAGTACTTTTAAGTGCAGATAATACATTTGGATTCAATCTTTAAGAACTGGTTATTTTTCAACAATTTTAGTCTCGCATAGTGTCACCTAAATAACTGATTTTGGTATCATTTTCAATAGTTTTAAGGGTTTAGTAAAAACTCTACGTAGTTTTTGATGAACACTTGGACCTACCCTGTTACTGTAGTCTAATTGTGTCTGGGTCTTAGAGAACTAAGTATTTGTTTTTTGAGGCGGGACTAGTATCAGATGCATTGAATGGTGAAATGTTTTTGGGTTTTGTTTTAGTTTTTTTGCCTGTGTGGGCATGATGCAGGGAAAGAGACAAGCCTCAGCACAGCGAGCGCAGCATATGCCTCCAGTATGTCTCGAGTGTGAGGCGCTATTTTTAGAGCCTCATGGATATTTTGGTCTTCACTCGACATGATAAAAAAAAACCTACTTGGCGTAAATCCTCTTTTTTTTTTTTTTTTTTTTTTTTATGCACACGAGGATTAAGCTGCGAAACGGATGCGCCCAAGTGCACATGATTACAAATGATGCTCAATATTTGTGCACGGTGTGGAAGGCAGAGAATGAGACACATGAGGACAATGGAGGTTGGGTTTGGGGGGGGGGGTTGTCCTGTGCATGTCACGTGACGTCATAGCATTAAAATGTATTTTAAATTGCTCTCTTTGCACATGACCCACTTAGCCTCTTCCACAGGTGTTGAGGCCATGGGGAAGGGGGACCCACATTGCCTTTTTGGGCTGTGCCCGGCAGGACGTCCTGGGTGCAGGCCTGGCTACCTCATTAATCAGATTAGGAATCTGGATTCAACATTTTGATAGATTGTGGAATACCAAAAATTAAAATCACATGCTTTTAAATGTATGTACTGTTTTTTTTTTTTGTTTGTTTTTTTTGTTTTATTCACACACACACACACAGAGTAACGGCATTGATACCGAGTTATGAAAATGAGAGTG